AGATGGGAGAACACAGATACTAGCCTTCCTGCTTATCTAATTCTACTTGAAGCTTTTATTTTTCTCAGTGGGACTGCCTGAATATTTAAGAGCTCCTTGATACAGGTAAAGATGTAGCAGTCTAAGAACACAGTGCTTAGCTTCAGCGCTGTCATCAGGAGGTATGGATAAAGCTGCTGCACAGCTGCTACTCCATGTTACCTTTCATCCTGTCCCACTGGATACTGTGCGTGGTGGGGATGGGTTGATGGTTGGACAAATGATCTTAGTGGTCCTTTCCAACCTTAATTGATTCTATGATATTATTCTGTGATAGTATACTAAGAAGTTGTGCCCAGGCGTTGACCATACAACACTATTGCAGCTTGGAGAGATTCCCAGTGCTGTCAAGTGAAGTTTCCTTTTGCTGTGCCCTGGTTTTAAATTTGGCCCAGAGCATCTAGATCAGCGTTTCTGCTCTTATGCCTACCTGTAAGGGTTGTCTGGTGAACTCCACAGCTGTAATACCTCCTTGGAGCTAATATGGTACTTGGTACAGAGATCTAAGATTGGAACTCTTGCAGAACAAACACGTGACTGATGATATTCCTTCCCTAAGGATCCTCTGTTAGATTCCTCTGAGGATTATCAAAAAACTTCTGGTTTCCTACTGGGGCGAAGCCAGAGTGAGCAGATGTGGATGTTCTAGATCAGTACTAGAAACAAAGAATTGGCTAGGTAGGATGAACAGTGGTGGTTTAGTGGCCAAAAAGAGATACTCCATACTCAGTACTTAGTTGTGCTTCTTTAATTTTTAAAACTGTCCTGTCTTTTGAAAACCCAGCTCAATATTTAATTTCATTTAAAAATTAATGGTGTTGACAGTTTGTTTCCTTTTTGGGGCTAGAGGAAGGGGAAGAGATGACAGAAACCACTCATTACGAGTCATTTTGGTTCTTTCATTTCTGTTTTTCAAGCAATTTCTTGTTCAGAAAAATTAATAGATCTCCAGTGAAATAAATAAGATAAAATTAGGCCTGTCTGTCTAATGCTGCCCAGCTGTTTTGCTGCCATGGAAATGATATAATGAGTTTCATTCATAAATTCAAAAAGAATGTGAGAGCAGGGCCTAAGTTGCTGCTGTTGCAGCACAGGCAAACTTGGATGCAACCAAACTACGACTGCATCAAGGCAAGACTGCATCAAGGCAATCATCACTGAAAGATTAGCTGAGACTTTTCTTTATTATTAAGAAAAAACTGTTTTCAAGTGTTAAAAGGCTCTGAGCATCTTTAAGAAGCGGAAAGTTCAGCTTTAAACCCCTTTTGTCTCAACACAAAAGCACATTCCTAAGAAACAGAAAAAGCCCTCCGTTTCTTCTGCAGTAGTGCTTTCTGCCTAATTTGGTGTGTTCTAGGAGCATGCGTTGCAGGGGGTAGGTTGCTTTCTTCTGCCTGGAGCAGGGGTGCAGGCATCCTTTAAGGCTTTCAAGGCAGCATAATGGGATAGCATGGGAGGAGGATGGATGTTGGGAAAGAATTCTTCTCCGAGAGAGTGACTGGGCACTGGCACAGGCTGCCCAGGTGGTGGTGGAGTCACCGTCCCTGGAGGTGTCAGAAATGCGTGGATGTGGTACTTAGGGACATGGGTTAGCAGGCAATATTGGTGGTAGGCGGATGGTTGGACTAGATGATCCTTGAGGGCTTTTCCAACCTTAATGATTCTATGAGGAGGTGTTAAAATTCAGGACTGCCCGACAGCCCTTCCAGCAGAGTGCCCTCACCTGCAGCTCCACAGCTCGTGCACTGCTTGCTTGTTATAAAATTGAAAAGAACTATTAGCTAACTACCTGGAAAACTAATTAACCTCTTGTAGCACTAATCCCGGATTTACTGTTAATCTTACTGAAGGAGTCCTTCTGGCAGGGTTTGTCCCAGAGCTTAGCACTGGGAGCAGGGGGAGCTGGAAGCGTTCGGCACCTTTGAAATGGAGACCGCATGCGGGCAGCCCGCATTAGCGGTGGCTGGAGAGTAATCCCCTGGCACATTAGCTCATGGATGTGTGTGTTGGCAGAGATCACGTCTGTGAATCATGCTGAGCCGCTGAGGTCACCACAAAACCCACTTTCTGTAAAATCACACCGGCTTTTTTTAAATCCATGTTTATTTCCTGCTTTCGGGCACTTTCGTGTGTATTGATCTGATCAATGTGAGTAACTTTTTTGACAAACAGGCTCCTTTAAATGCCTTAAAAGCTTCATTATTAAGATAATGGAACTGAAGTTAAAAACAAATCAAACAATGCACGTGTAAAAGGTTTCCCCCAGACAGCTTGAAAATAAATTGAAAACAAATTCAATTAAAATAACAATCAACCTTTTTGTTCCTTCAGTGGTATGATTTCTCTGAGGCAGGTACGCAATGATAAGAGGTTTCTTTGAAATGCTTGGGATAGCGCACCCATAGGCAGAGCTAGGAGAGATCAAAGCAGTGTTTTTCCTAAAGAACAGCCTGCTACTATTAAGTTACTACTTTAAGGTGTGAAACGTTTATTTTTTTCCTCCTTTTGTGGATTTTTTTTGTGTTTTTTTTTTTTTTGGGAGGGTGTTTTTTTTTTTTGTTTTGTTTTTGTTTTTTGTTTTGTTTTGGCTTTGGTTTCTTGGCTTATTTATTTATTTTGGTCCCAGATCCTTTTGCATCTGTTTCTGCTCTTTCCTCTTGCCTTTTACCTTTGTAAACTAGATCCTAAAATCTTGACCCAAAGGAAATGTCTATTAAAATATATTTTGGACAGTATTGCTTTTTCCCTGGTCTCTGTCATCAATAGTTTTCTCTGGTGCTGGGGCACTGAAACACGTTTTCAGGTCCTTCCATGGTCCCCTTGAGAATATTTTGTTGCTCTAAGTACAATTACAGATGGGTGGAGTATTAGCTTCTCCATTATTTGGCATCGTGCTTGTGGCCCCCCACATCTGCAGCAAAGGTAAAAAGTAATGAAGGCTACTCCTAATGGGCTGTTTGCAAATGATTGTGCTGTATTGGCTCACAATGATAAAGACATCCAGTTACTTACTGATTGCTTTCTGTGTGCTACAAAGCACCTCAACCTTGCAGCGCTCTGAAAAATGCCTATTTTCTGTTTCAGCCAAGATCTTGTAGTGCAGGAACCATCCCCGTGTTATCCATTGATTAGGGGCCTCTCAGGACTGCCTGTGCACGGGCTCTTGTGAAATAGGAGCCTCTCAGGCTAGCGATGCTCTGGATAGATTACAGCCCTATCTACAGACAGCATGTGGTGGTGCTTGCAAAAAGACTTGCTGCTTTGTTCAGAGTTCTTGCTGCACATTTTCTCAATGGCTGCTCTTCACTGCTAAAGCACCTTTTATTCCCTGAGGAAGCTGATGAGCTTTCTGTTGTGAAGATCCACTGAAATAAGATATGAACTTCTTCCCCCTGTCATCTACTGTGTGGTTGAATGTGATGTTCCTGGACCTTTAGTTGGAATTGTTTTGGATTGCTGCTCGATAACACTTGAGTGTTTGGCTATGTCTTGCTTGGTTTGAAAGGATGGTGTCACACAAGTGTGTTACTGGTCAAAGGAAGAGTTTGTCTTGTTCTGAATGTGAAGTGTATCCTTGTTATTCTCGGCATTGCTGCTTCCACACTCACAGACTGTCTTTTGAGTCATCAGAATTGATTTTCATGCCCGACTAATTACTGCCATGCCTGTTCCTTGGAAACCATGGGTAGCAAAGGCGTTCATGGGCGTTGAACTAATACAGTTTATTCTGAGATGAGTTAATATCTTACTTGAATCATGTTTGATCTTAAATAGCTGGAGAGATCTTTGAAGGTTTCTTGCTGCTTTAGGAAGTGATTAGCTTACGGTTGCCTTTCTGCAGTTCTTCTGTTTGCTTTTCTCTTCATTACATAGTTCAGACAAACTGCAAATCAGCTGGCATCATCTGCTGTCATACAGGCCCTGTGTGTTACTGGTTTCATTAAGGACTCCCAGTAACACGGTGTTTTTAAGATAAGTTTATGAAGATGTTTCCTCTCTGTCAGCTCTTGTCAGTAGATCTGCCAGAATATTAACAAGAAATTGGACCAGTTGTAGTTTTAGAGCTATGCTTGAATACATCGAGGAAGAGCCAGAATAATACACTGGCAGGGAAAAAAAAAAACCAACAACATATTCTTCTGCAAAGGCAGCCACATCTGCCACATAGTCCAAGCTGGGAGTATGTGGTTGCCAGAGCAAGTTCTGCAAATGGGGAGGTCTGGGGAATTAAATTGATGGTGTTGGACAAGAATACAGTGGGGATATCATGTGAGCTAAATGGGTGGTCTTAATACATGTCGCTGCAGCAAATCAAACAGAAACACAATTCTTGGATTTATTTATCTTTTAAACAAGCATGATTTTTAGTATGACTTTATTTACAGGGTTTTTTGGGACACTGTGCTACTTTCACCATTTACCAGACCTTGCTTTTTTTAAGCATTTGGATTGTAAGTTTATACAGAATTGAAATGAAGCTACAGGTTTTCAGCACATATGATTAGGAGAGAAACTGAAGCAAGCCAGCTCTTAACAAGTTCTTCTTCCTGGATAACTCAAATCTTTGGCCAAATTTGAAAGCTGAACTTGAATCAAAATTTTACAAATAACCTTCACCTTTTCAAGTGGCTGAACCAATGTTTCAGGCCGTGCAAGCACTGGCTCTGAATGTTACAGCTCGACCCCATCTATGGCAATGTAAAGGAATCTGTTTATCTCTCCACAGAGTGCAGTCATTCCTCAGTGAAATGGCTGGAAGCCCTTCTTAGCAGCATAAAGTACAATTTTAGGTAGGAAAGCAAATGATTCTGCAGCCTACTCTGAAAGTAATTAACAGAAGCAGGGTGTAAACACTGGCTTCTGTGCTCTCTGAAGTAAACAAAATAAGAATTTATGCTACTGACCTTGTTAAGTAACTAACATTTTCCCTCCTCTGCAATCGCTTTTGCTTTCTCCCTCAGTTCAAAAGCCCCCTGAGCCCAGGGCTGCGTGCTACACTGAAACGTTCAATCCTGCATTTGAATAAGCTGAATCAAGCCAGCCATACTGCTAAACATATGGTAAGTAATAGCATCATTAACAATAGCATAGTGCACGTTTGACAGCCGAAGGGATTTGGCTGCGGTTTGCTGCGGGAGTGGCAGCAGAGGAGCAGAGCTGGTGCCCCTGCCAGGATGCCAGCCTCCCTCCGCCCCTGCTCTGACCTTCTGGAAATCTGAAAGGCTGCCCGTCTTCCTGCCTCCTCTTCAGGCTCTTATCTTCTGCTGGCAGCTCCAGGGCTGGGTGGCACCAGTTGTGTTTCACCGTTAAAAGCTGTGATTCGTTCTCCTTGGGGTGAGATCCTGGTGGAGAGGAGAGAGACCCGAAGCCAGGAGATCAGCAGACCAGGGGGACACGTTTCAGTTTTGAATTTGTTCTGAGGAAAGCACACCACTCTGTTTCTATGCTATGCTATGTTGGCCTATCCCAAAGGCACAAGGGCTGTGGTTGCTGCCCAGTGCACCATGTCCTGCCCGTCCATGTACTCCTAGTCCTTAGGGTGCCTTGGCCCCAAGTACGTCATTCTTCAGACCGCCAGTATGGGGTCACAGCTGACTGACTTCTTGCTGCTCCTGTTGCAGTCACGAACACCTTGTAACTCGTTCCCCTGCTGCCCTTCTTTCCTTGCAGTCTCGATCTTTGCTTCCCCTCCAGGCTGTCCTTCCCCCATTCTTCTTATCAGATGTGAAATCCATCAACCTGCTGTGGATGAAACTTCTCCCATGTTGATAGCCAGTTTTGTACTCTTTTTTTTTTTTTTTTTTACTCAGTATTCTTTTTTACTCTATGAATCCTGGGTGCATAGAGTTCACTTAATCACTTTTGGGTTTGAAAGCATCCGTGAGCATTAAGGTTAAAGAACCAAGTCCCACCGTTCAGATATTGTACTCAGCCTCTGCTAGTCAGTGGGTTAAAAAAAAACATCTCCATAAATGATTTTTTTTCTTTATTTTCAGCATGGAGACTTCCTACATAAATGAACGTTGCCCTTGTAGTCCAGTTGTTACTGCTTTGTGCTGATAGTGAAAGACCCCAAAGAGAATGGAGTATAAGGTAATGATATCCTAAAATGAAAACAAACCCAGGAAGTAAGTTTCTGTATTTCTTACTGGCTGAGCTCGTAGAAATGCAGGAATAAAACAGAGGATCAGAAACAGAGAATGAAATGCAAGTGCTTCTTTTTTTTTGTTTAATTTGAATCATTGAGTATGCTCTGAAAAAACACTTGAGGCAATGACTATTTTTCTTAAGTAGGAAATTTTAAAGACGTTATTCTGATGCAAAACCATGGAAGGTTGCTAGAGAAAGACACCACTTCAGTGATCTCACCTGTGCTTTTTTTAAAGGGATGTGTCTGGGGGGCAGAGGTGCTCCTGGCCTGTTTTGCAAAGATCAAAAGCTAATAAGCTGTATGGTTTTGGCTGTGCCTTTGTTTTTTTTTTTTTTTTTTTTTTTTTTTTCTATGTAGCTGTCTGAGAAGCTGGAAGGAGAGAGCAATGGACGAGAGTCATTAGTAAGAAAACTGTTTAGTGCTGTGAGCTGAAAATAAGGAAAAGATTTATCTGCAAACAGGGAATGGTGTTTCAACCAAAAGGAATGGCTGGAAAATGTGTTGTTAGACGGGGGGCTGCGATTTGTACCTGCAGTGTAGGCTGTACATCTGGAGCAGCAGCAGAGGTGTGTGCATTTGCATGGAGCCTTGCATAGGAGTTGGGGATGACAGCGTGCTATGGACATTTGGGTACTTCCGAGGCCATGGTTTGTGTCCCAGTGCGTGCTAGAAGGACAGCGTGTGTTCAGCCAGCGTGCATTTGCCTGACTTTACAGATTTAATGCTGTAACGTCAGCCATCAGTCTGCCTCTGATGTATGGCTCCCGGTGAATATTCCAGCCCTGTCCGTCGTGCGGGAGCCCAGCAGATGGAGCAGTGTTCCTGTGCATGAGGAGGTGTGGGGCCGCATCCGGAGCTGCGCTGTGCAGTCGAGCCGATCTGCCCCAGTGCATCTATGAAGCACGGAATAAAAGGCTCACTGTAAGAAATATATGTGAGATTGCCACTTTCTGCATGCGTGGTGTTTTGTGATATATGTGCAAGATTAGTGGAATGGTTTATGTAGAAATATATCAGCTTTTCTAAACTTTGTATGCTGTACTGTAGATTGTTTTTATCTGAGCCCTAATTTACAGCTAAAATTCAGACAAGGGCACGTGAAAGTAATCCTTCTGATCACATTGCTTCTTTATGATAACGATATGCTTTATTATTTTTAATAAACCAGTGATAGCTGCTGTTGCCGTGTTCCCACAGCAGCAGCCATGAACAGTGGCACAAACAGGAACAGAAAATCCTTCTCCATCTCTTTTTCTTTTTTTCTCCTTAATAAATAATTGAAGGAGAAAACAAGAAAAATATGGTGTAGGATCTAAACAATAAACAAAAACCAGGGTCAGAGCACAGGGCACATGCTTTCTTCTCCTTTAAACCCGACTACTCATATTTTTTTTCCTTGCTGTGACAGAGAAATGTACTCAACTCTTTTTGTACTGAATTGTATCTCAGAAAAACATTTTTATATATGGAGGGCTGAGTGGTGTAACATTTTTAATGGCACATTTTCATCTGCTTTGCAGTGATGGAACTGAGCTCTGCTGCTGTGCAAGCACAGCCCGGCCAGGTTATGTGCTCTGTCTGCCCTTAACCACCTGCCCTGAATCTCAGCTGGTGCACTCAGGTAAGTCTAGAATAAAGGGGGTCAGTGCCTGGAACCTTAAAGCTAATGAGAATTAAGCCACTTCATAGGCTTTCTCATCTCTTTCTTAATTTCAATGGAGCGACAATGCCATTTCCGCTCCTACAGACGTGCTGGTGTCCATGCATCTTCCACCATACGTCCCTTGGGCATTTAGTCTCTCCTTGTGAGGCCACACTGTTGTGATATCCCTCCATAGCATCTTGCAGTCCATCTGTCTGTCTCTGTGGCCAGGGCACCCAATGTTCAATGATAACGCAGCATTTCAAATGCTGTAAAGTATTCAACTCTAAAGCAAATCTAACAGGAATGTAAATAGCTTTCTCTGAATATGGGTATTTTGCATCACTGAGGAATGTCTTTTTGGCAAGCTTCCCTCTGTTTCAAGAGGTCTAAATTTGGCTACTGTTCAGCCATCCCACCTAGTTACATGAGATAAGCAATAGAAATGAACTGGGGGTTGCTGTGTTAACCACCCTGCCTGCATTCTATTCACCATGTGTCTGTATTTTCTAGAGTTGTGCCTGTAGCAGGAACAGTAGCCTCTATCTCATTGTTTTAGCTCCTTTAAAAAAAAACTAATGGGAATGGCTAAAAAGTGCTAGCTAACAAATAGATTTAAACTTCAGCTTGACCTCCTTAGCCAAGCAAAACAAAAACTGAGAAGGGATTAATTTGCTTCCTATGAGCACATCAGTGAGGAAGAGCTGAGGATAATGATAGCAAGACAACAAAGGGGGATAGATTTGTCATGAATTAATTTAGGATGCTGAAAGCTTCCTTATGTCTGGTCAGGAGAGTTCTGGGACATCACCTTGGTGGAAGCAGTCGAGCAAAACAACACAGCTGTCTTTTCAGCAGAGCATCCTCAGGGCATGAGAGAGATTAGGATGAGTCCTGTGGGGCCTGGACACTGCCCAGGGAGCTCTTCACAGCCCTTGCTTACTCCTGCATTAAGGCCATTTAATGCTCTAGTTAGAATAACTCCAAGGTACAGAAGTATGCTTGCTTAAAACTGATTTCTGTGTCTTGCTATGTGCAGTTGTAGTACTCAAAATATTTTTTACCAAGGGCTCTGGTTTACGTTGGGTACAGAGAAAGAACTTAAATCATGGCGTGCCGAGGATTATGTGTGTATTTTCTGTGAGGAGTGATCCAGTTTTAGTATTGGTTCTTTCTAAGAGAATCTCTCTTGGATGTTTAACCTTGGGCCATGTATGGAAGCCATCATGCATTGTTCTGTGTTCTACACTGGGGTTTGGTGCTGACATGGAAGTGGCACTTCTTGTTGATCCCTCACTGCTAGCAGGTACTGCTGTGATCCCCTGGGACAGATCATTGCTGCCCACAGAGCCGTGGTGGCACTTTCCAGGTAGGAGGGCTGCTGTAAGCCAGGCACTGCAGCGATTCAGCACGCACCGCAGCAATGTATTCCAGCTTTGTACTGCCAGGACAGAGGTCCAATCTATCTGATCCATCTGTTGTCAAATTAATGTCCAAGCTGGCTTTTGGATTCAGGTCTTTCACAGGGAACAGTGTGAGTGACAGCTAGGGGAAAGAACAGAGAGATGTGAATGTCCTGTGCTATAACTCTTGAAGACTGAAGTAGTTGGTATTCATGGTTCAGCTCAGCTTTGGCACGGCTCTCTGAAATCATAAGTTACACAGAAGAAGAACCATGTGTGCTCAGATACCCTAGATCTTTTTTTATTGTTATTGTACTAACTCTTCATTTCTAAGTAGCTACGTGCCAGATGCATGACATTTCCCATCTTGCTTACAACAGAATTTTAAATTATGAAAACACTTCTTGCCTGAACTTTGCTGAAAGGACTTTGAAAGCTCCGTGATCATTTTGCGTCTCCCAGAGAGGTAGTCCATAAACTCCCAGCACTTTGCAAATACCACAAGATCATATTTTACTAGATTATGAAGTTTGTGCACTTCACATTAGTAGTACTAATACCTCAGAGGAACAAAAGAACATTTTTAGCATTTCATTTGCATAATGGCTGAAGTGAGAATTTGTTCCTTGTTGAATAGGTACCCTGGGGGTCCTTTGATTTGCTGTAGCACTCTGTGCAGCAGGGAAATAACACAGAAGTTAGTAGCACCGATGGAATTTAGGTACTTTCCGGCTTGTTGATGTCTACTACTCAAACTCCATTAACTTGCCACCTGCAGACTTGGTAGCTTCATGTATTTGTTTATAGCAATTCTGATTAGCCAACCGTTAAACACAGTGAAACCTGTGATTTCAAGTAAGTGTCATCTGAAAAGCAGATTTAAGTTGCACCAGGGGAGGTTCAGGTTGGACATTAGGAACAATTTCTCCTCAAAAAGAGCAGTGATGCACTGGCACAGGCTGCCCAGTAAGGGGGATGGAGTCACCATCCGTGCAGGTGTTCAAGAAAAGGGTAGATGTGGCACTGAGTGACATGGTTTAGTGGGCATGGTGGGGTTGGGTTGATGGTTGGACTTGATGAACTTAGTCGTCTTTCTAACCTGAATGATTCTATGATCTCAACTTAAATAAAAATACTTATTTGCTGTATATCTGAGGATGCGCACACAAAGATTTGTACAAAGGTCAGTTCTTACTGACAGCATAAGGGAAGGCTGCAGACAGCAGCGTGTTTGGGAGAAGGGTGCTGAGAGACCTGGGGCACCCCGCCCTTACCTGGGGTTATTTTACCTGTGTTTGAATGGGCAGGCAGAGCTGGTGCCTGTGCTGTGTGCGGCCTCACCTAAAGATTGTGAGGCAATGACTCTGGACAGTGAGCAGGACAGAAGTCTTACGGAGGAGATGCAGAGGACTGGGGAACTGGAGGGAGTTTCTGCATCACGCAAGGCGGCACAGCAAGTGAGTGAGTCCTCCAGCCAGAAGCTGTTTAGCACAACAGCTGTCAGTGCAGGAGCCCAGTGAGGCTGATGCTGACAGCCCGGCCCTGCCCTCAGCTATCACATACCCTCCAGGCTTATCCATTGTGGCAGAGAGCTCTCCTTGCAAGTGAGAATCTGAAAGCGTTTGCTTGATGCAGTAGAGTGACCACAAGCTGTCCTTGTCCTAAAACGTGTTGTCAACTGCTTCTAGCAGTTAGCAGTGGACTCAAATTGCTAACCCTCGTGCAAAAAAAAATCCCGTAAACTTACTCAAGAACTTCTTGCTCCACTCAGGAATGCAGCATCTGACCTATCTGTATATCTACTGAGCAGTCTGTTATTGCTTAGTATTGTGCTTATTGTTTGGTACTTGCAAACCCAAAGAAGGGGGAGAAGATATTGTGGTGACACAAAGGGAAACTAATGAAAATTAAGTAGATGCATTTAAAGAGAATTAGTTAAACTGTGTTTAACCTAAGTGTGAACGATCATTCAGAATTAGTGAAGTATTCATTTGCTATGATTTACTTTGAAGGTGGATTAAGGTAAATTGAATTAAGGCCTCTTTAATTTTAAATAGAAACATCTACATAGGAATGCAATTTAACTAATCTGTTCTGAGAGTTAATTTGAATAATATATCCAGGCCTGCAAAAGCAATACGGGGCAGGGTCTCAGTTTGAAGGATCAGATTTGCTGGTAAGTGTTGAAAAATTGTTAGAAAGAGTTCCCCTTCCCCAGCCATGCAGGGCACTCAGACATCATGGAGTATTTACAAGCAGCTCTGCCTGGGCATTGCAGCTTCTGGCACAGCTTTCAGAGCCGTGGCTCAGTGGCCTTGGTAAGGACTAACATGGCAATGGCTGCTAGTCCATGGGACTGTCACTTAAAATCTCAGTTGGAACTTCAGAAAAGAGGCTTTCTAGAGTTGTTAAAAAAAAAATCAGCAATGTTTTAACGAACAAATTGCAAAGAGGTTATCATTAACCCTTTCTGGTTCCAGATCACAGTGTAAATGCTTGCTTTTTTTGGCCAAAATTTTCTGTGCATTCCAACCCAAGAAGGAGCATGCAGGTGTATTGTCTGTACTGCTGCAGATTGATATATTCCTCCGTTCCAGCCTCCCCACCCCCCAAAGACTACACTTGTCTTAATTTCCTCTCAATTACACTCAGGCATTAACTAATACTGACTAACTACAGCCCAAAATAATTATTGCTATCTGTTCCCTTTGTAAATATAACTTCAGCACTGAGCTAGAAGAATAATGGCATATTTACAGAAGGCAGCTAATTAAATTGAGCTTCAATTGCTTTCAGTTTGCCAGAAGGAGCCATTTTCACAGCAAAAAATGTGTGCAAGCCTGCATGCTTACCAGGAACAACTTGGTATAACATAATTCAGAGTTCCCAAGACAAAAATTCAGTTCAAGACAAATTTACACTGGCAATAAAAATCTCATTAAGGAAGATATGAAGATCTCTCTACTACACCACGACAGTTAAAAGAGGTTATCATTTTTTTCAGTTTATTTAAGGAACAGTATATATTTCATTGTTCCAGAGCAGCTGTAATTGCAAGTGTCTTTCAAATGCTGCTTGCAGTAATGCATTTGTCTTCTGTCTGTAACTTCAGAACCAGCCTCTTGATGGTCTTCATTAGGAAGAACTCCAGCAGAAGATGCTGGAGTTTCCAAGCTCTTCAGTGTTCAGTTTTTCCTAATTTTTCCAGCCTTAGCTCCTGCACTTTGAAAATTCTCACTTGCCCCCACGATTCAACCAACTGCAAAGATTTCCTGTGATCATAATTTGTCTCCAAATGTTTACACCCTCTTTTGTTCCTTTGAGATGAAACTGTTCACTATAATTACAGAGCAGCAGTCCTTGACAAATCAAAGTTTGAAGGAACGATTCTTGTCAGAGCCCTTACCAGTCTCCAGGGCCCTTTCTGTTTTGGGAAAAAAAAACAACAAACAAACCAAAAATAAGGGGATTGTTTCAGCTGTTTTTTGTTCCACTGTTCAAACAAAGCCTGGTGCAGAAATTATTTACAGTCTTCTCCATTGCAATAGTTCACCGAGCTGGATTGAAAGCTGATTT